TGAGCTGATTGATTTGTCTTCTTTATTGACAAAGAGTGCATTGTAAATGTAAGAGTTAGAAAGTTCACAGCTACAAACTCACACAAACATTTCACTGTACACTGAACAGCACACACACATAAAAATACACATGTGCGCATATTCACAATATATTACAACTGTGTGATACATTACAGTGTGACGCTCTGAGTCTGGGAGCGTTTACCACCAGCAACAAAAAAGGCAGACTACAACTGATAATTTACTTTAACCCTCTAAAATGAAACAATAAATTACATTTATACTTAAAAATATGACAAGCAATTAGAATAAAAAATATATAAACAATATATTTGCAACAAATGGGTGGTTTTAATTTGACGTATTTTGACCAAGCAATCCATAAAAAGTGGAAAAAGTTTGAATTGGAAAGCAAACATCTCTACACTTAGTAAAAGAAAACTTGTTTTCACAGTTTTAGGATCGCGACTTCTTATAAGAATACTTTGTACTCTTTTTCAAAAAAACATTTTGGAGTCTGCCAGGCTTGTGGCATTGTGGCTCAGCTATTTTTCAGCTAATTTGATGTACTAACATTTATAATTAGCTGTGATTACATACATACAAACAAAAAAAAAGTACAAAAAACAAAAGGTTAAAAAAATCAATGTTTTTGGTCACACTTTATCCTGAGGGAAATATAAATGAAATTTTGTGCCGATCCATTCAAAAGCTGTGGAGGAATTTGAAAAGGGTCAGAATGGAATAAAATGAGAAAACAATTGGTACAAACAAAGTACAATTCCTTAATTGGGCATTTAAATTGTTGTTGTTTTTTGACAAAACTGAATTAAACACAAAGACAGGTTGGGACTATTGTTCAGCTTTGGTGTAAATACCCTCCTTAACCCCAACACAACAAAACTCTGCGGGGGGTTTGTGAAAAAAAAAAAAAAGTGCCAGCATATCCTCAAGCGTTACGAGTTGAAAATGTTTTCGAGTGCATTTAAAATAGAACAACTGCTTTCCTCCAGACTTCTCAGAGAAGAACAATGTGGCCTGGAAGTGGAAGCAGAGTGAGCTATTCAAAGAAGGTGGCTGTTAGAACAGAGACAGTAATCTCTCCACACCCAGCCTCATTTTTATTCACACACAAGTCAAGCTTTGCCTCTCGCTCTTCCTCCCAGCTCATTTCTCTCCTTTTCCGCACCCTTCTCATCCTTTTCCGTCCATTCCCTCATCGTTTTCTTGTATTTGCTTTACTTGTTTTCTGTTCTAGTCTCACTTTTAGAAGCAGTCCACTCTAACCGGCTTCAAATACCACAAGTTAAAAGATGAATCCACCCTAAAATACATGAAGATGGCTCACCCCGTATCTCTGAGTCTGCCTTTTTGTTTGTTTTCGGTGTTTTTGTGCTGATCTGAGTCTGAATATTATCTGAAACACCTGCAGTAAATATCAAGTTTACCTGTCAGTCCATTAGAATCACAGAGGAGTCATTTCTTGTATATTTTGTACCACTTTTACAAAATATAGTTTGTTTTTTTCTGCACACAAGGCATATGCAGAGATAAAATGGGGGTTTAGTTTCCTGCCAGTGTTTTAACATTATTCCAGGTGGCAGTAACACGCCTAGAAGCACTGCAATAAAAATGCAACGGAAGGGAGCACTGCTGGGAAATTAAAGCATTGACTTGCCTGTGCATTCTCGAGGCCAGTCAATATGCAAAGCATTTATTACTCTACTATTATGCTCTGAAGTAGTCTATCAAGCATGCTCTGCGTGCAGCAAAAATAGCATCCTCAAAGCACCCGGTTTACAGTCCTGCTCCGACACATAAACCGAATTTCATCCTGAAGCTCCAACATGTTCTTTAGTATTCCTCTGCAGTTCATCTCACGTGAGGAGCCGAGTCAGACATTCAGATTTGTGCTGAACTAAAACAACTTAACAGATGTTTTTTATAAGGAGACATCTGGGAAGTGGTTGTTTGAAATAGTTTGGAAAACGGAAAACGCTTGCATTTGATAGTTAGCAGGAAATTGGACGAACTGTCAGTTTATGGCTGACCAGCACGAGCAAAATTCATTTGATCTGACTAACAAGACGAGATCAGCAACAACGAATCGATTTCCTGTTCTAGACAAACAAAAAGAATGGACTAACTAAGCTATTATGACAAACTTACTGGCTTGTGTTGCTGATTAAGTTCAGGCTTCTATCATCTTCTTTTGTTTCTTTGGATTTTTTGTGACAAATTTGAAGTTATAGATATTTTTTGTGATGTTTAAAAAGCCACAACTTCCATGATGAGTTATCA